CTGTGTTTGCATAGCCTGATATAAACACTCGAGGCGTTGGGAGAATTCTCGACAGTTATGCAAACCCTCGACTTCGTCTCGGGTTTGCACAACTGTCTCGAATTCTCCCAACCCCTCTCGTGTTTACATCAGGCTATGCAAACACGGAAAACGTTTTCTATTGCTTAATTAGACTCCGGGCGTATGTCGTTATGGCGGACGATCACGTTTGATAGGGCGTAATATAATCATGGCTTCAACTGAGCAGGTTATTAGAACTTTCTGAAGAAGGAACTTGTTCTTCTCCTCTTTAAAATGGAAAATATGTCAACCGATCTCGATTACTCTATTTGGGCAACGCCCAATCGAGATCGATAGTTTTGATTCAAAGTTGCAATAGGCACGCAATACGTTCGAACGTAAACAAGCCAAGCGACGCGACCAGAATGTCTGCCGCGCGATTTGTCACGACACAGCATTTATCCTCGTTACATGCATCGCACAGATAAGGCACAGCAAACAAATCGGCAACAGAAATCAAACGTATTGAAAAAACAAGGTACACTGAGTGAAACAAACTATTAAGTTATTTAAATTTTCCCTTTGGAAAATAATTGTCCTCGCACAAAAAAAGACACATTCACAAAATTTCAGCCCCTCCCCCCCCCCAACATCTTCATAGCCCCTTCTTTATATTAAATGAACTTTCCTTATCCACGTTCTCTCCATACAAATATTACAAAAATTAACGGAGAAAAAATCCTAAACAGAAAGCCTAACAACGTTTAAAATAAGTACAAGCATGTTTTATACTATTGATCAGATCTCTCAAAACCACCACTTCGTTTCAGCAGACTGAAACTACACTATCCCCTCGTAACCAAATTAGCACACCCACGACTACCTCACTGCAACACCTCAAATCTCTTTTACCTTCCAAAAAAATATTTTTTGTTACTTCATATTAAATTCTACTAGAAACCAGTTTCACTGATTAACAAACTACAGCCATTATCTTACTAATGCACGCCCAATATAACTCCACGCCTTCCACTTCAAACATCTCAACCAACCCCTAAAATATACAACGCTACTGCACTACTAACACATCCTTATAGACATAAAAAACTTCACACACGCCTAGTACATCGACGCCCAAATATACGGTCCCACAGCGTCTCGTTTGGTTCTGTTTTTCGCCTGTATTTAAAAGAAACGTATTTTGCAATTTGAGGGCCAACCACTCAGAAAACTGAATGGTTAACTTGGCCACCATAATCAAACCTTAATACTAACCAAATAAAATGAACGTATATGCCTATAAACAATAAAAAGCCATGTAATTTTTTAAGATTAGCAAATAAGTTGTGAGGAAATGAATTGAATTGAATTGGCACAAATTGGTAAATACGATAGATTGTACGACAAACTAATTAAAGGCTTGGTTTCCATACACTCGTCCAGATCGTCCTCATAGCCTCAATCAATGTTCCTCGACGACTTGGACCGGATCCCGACCTTCTGAACGAATATTTAAAACTTCAGTCGTATCCAGCCTATCCAGGCAATTGCGATGATCGCCTCAATCGTTTGGACACAGGGAGCCGGAACGCTGTATTAGCTAATAGAAAAACATAGGCACGTTAAACGTGCATGAGCTATTTTGAATGCTTCAGTGTAACTTTAATGCTTCAGTGTAACCTTATCAAGAGTGATGAATCTACGTTTTTCGTCCTAAATGTAGACTGGGATTTTGTGCGAAATTGAGCATTGCCGTAAATAAATGAAAACGCGAAACGCTCAGCTGCGTCGATCCTCATGCTACTTTCCTCTGTCTTTCCCTGTTACATTTGGCGCAATTTAAACAAATTGTTAAAGTAAAATATATGTCTACTCACCAAACGTTGATTAGAGGGAAAACTCTAAGGTTTCCTCGGAGTTTCGTAAGCCAAAATGTAACTCATCGAATTCGAGTAGTTACGAAATACCAGGATTTTTATCACTGTGGTATATGGTTGCCTCATCACAATTCACAAGGTTTGCACGTGCGATTCTACTCAGTGAAACAGTGTTTAACTCTGACAACTTATTTCTTCATGTTTTAAAAGCTATTGCTTCTTAACAGACAAGAGCCTCTTTTAAGGCATTGGTTACGAAACAAAACAGGTCTTCATACGTTCAAGTCACTATTACTATTGTGAAAAGCCAATCTGCATGAGATGTACAGTCACACAACTGGCACGTGAAAGTGTTGGACTTTGCCCCCTTTCGTGGTTCGTACGTGAGGGAATTCGAGTTATCACACAGTAATCGAGTAAACAGAATTATAAAAATAACTCATGCACACAATTTGCACGTGAAGATGTTGGTCTTTGACCCTTTTACAATTCGTACTTAAAAAAAAACTTAAATTGTTTACTACAAAATTTTCTCAAACGATTTTAAGAAATCACCGCGGCTTCATTTCAATAGCTGCAATTAAATTATGTTTCATGCAATGTCAAGGTTGATAGCCTAACAATTATTAACTTCCAAGAAAATTATCAAACTGCCGAAATATATTTCTGCTCATATCATGTTACTCCACTCAATAAAGCAGTACCTAATTATTGTGTCAACTAGCTTCTTCCAATTTTATTCCCTAACGCTACTGTTTCTACTTAAGTTTATACGCATCTTTACTCAATAAAATACGTTTCAATAACCATAATGCTTAGTATGCAGGAAGGATGTATCATGTTGTTCACTTATTATTCCTTTTTGTTGTTGTTTTGCCGGAACGAAAAAGGTCTGTTGAACTTTGTGAGCGAGAGAATAATATTTCTACAGCTTCTTTACAGGATTACCAATACTCGGTACACCTTTAAAAAAATAAGCTGCTTTTCAAACTTCTAAAACCACATTTTATAGGCCGCATACTTTCGAATTAAAGTCCATATCTAAATATCAATTATTGCTTCACTGGAAGAGCTTTGAAAATATATGATCGTTTATACTCTACCTTGAAGCAGGTGAAACACAACTCATAAATACGTGCGTGGTACATTTCGCGATAGCCGAATTCGGTCAGAAATGTCTTGAAGTAGCATCCACACTAAAATATGAACCCTTAAACAGCTGCATCACTGTACACAGCGTTTGAATCATGAAGATATTTAATATAATGTTTCCAAACACCTGTAGCCGTAATAAAAGACGAACAAATTGTAAAGAATCAAGATGGCGGTCTTAAAGTGCCCTTGTTCGACCTTTAGCAATGTGATTTTTAAGTAGATGCCAAGATCTCATTGGTTCCTCAGCATCAACTCATAGTACCTTCAACCTTATTGGCTCTTGCAACAAACATCCGAACATACAAAGTTACAAAGATACAAAGATACAAAGTTACAAAGATACAAAGCCACAAAGATACATACGCTCACACCACTGACATATGAGCTATTTTTTCAAAATAGCTCAAAAATTAGATGTATTTAAGCTGTATTAGCTAATAAAATAATAAGATTCATTTACCTTTGTTCCTGTGTCTATGAGTCGTTTTGGAAGGGATCTGAATCCGATCAGAGACGGTTAACGTTGCTGGTCATCAAGATGCGGTTGCTTGTCTGGCGTGTCGTAAATATAAAGACGCTCAAGTTTCCTCTAATATTGTTAACTATTAACTCTCCTCAAAGGGCCAATCTCCTAGGGAGATGATCTCGGATTTCAATTTAATAGTTAACAATATTAGAGGAAACTTGAGCGTCTTATTTACAACACGCCAGACAAGCAACCGCATCTTGATGAGCAGCAACGTTAACAGTCTCTGATCAGATTCAAATCCCTTCCAAAACGACCCATAAAGACACAGGAACAAAGGTAAATGAATCTTATTATTTTATTAGCTAATACAGCTTAAATGCATCTATTTTTTTTCTATTAGCTAATACAGCGTTCGGGCTCCCTGTGGTTTGGATAGTCTCGCATCGCATCAGAAGTGTTTCTATATAACTGTGTCGATCGTCTATTTGAGACGACTTAGGCTATTATGTTGCCCAAAGAACCTTGCTTAGCGACAACGTTTCATGAAAGAAATGATTATCCAGTTCTCTCTTTCCGTTTAGGAGCAATAAATATTCCTCTAGTTTTACTTCTGACACATACCACACTAATATCCTCGTGTTTACCATCAAAGTTTTGCAGTTCCCGAAGACAAACTTCAAATGAACTCTTTGTTACGTCTTCAGTCCAGATGAGAGCGGCATCATACTCTTGACCTGTTTTCAGATGCTCTGAAGTCACAAGGACTACTGGGGCCTCAGTGAAATTTCCCTGATGAAAAAGCGAGTAAGTTTGTCAAAATTGGAATGTTCTGAAAATAACAACAACTAAAAAGCAATTTGATCAAGATTGAGTTAAGGAGGGTATTTTACGCGCACCGTCCACTTTAATCAGCAAAAACTGGAAAATGCCGAGAAATTGGAAAACGCAATATAAAATGTTTTCCTTCCACACGAGTCCACACTAGTCCTACTAAATTTCAAAACGCATCTTTTTTTTTTTGGCAAAAATGAATACAGTGAGATTTTCAGAGATCTACGAAAAGCGTTTCCGAAAAGTGCTATTTTGGGTGGACAATTCATCATGTTTAGTGTGGACGAAAGGCTGTAAGATAAATCAATCCATCGTGGTGTTCACTCGACGGGACCTTAAAAGTTTTTAAAGAATGTTGAAAGAGTGATTTAGATGGTTTAGGATTATTGAAAAGAGAAGCGAGCGAGGATGTAAAGAAAGAACAAAAATTCGATACGGTATTGCACATGTTGCGGTCTGGCACTAGGTTTTAGGTAATATGCCGATATAAACTATAAATTACGTTAACTTTGCGCATCGTTTTACGATTATTTTCCGTTTGTTTAGTGTTTGTGTTTCACGTAGCAGACACCAATTAACTCTTTCAAAATTCCCTTCATCGTCATGATTATCATTCGGCACTTCTGCATACAAGAAAAACGGTTCGTGAAACATTTAAAATGTTCCCATCATACCTTGGGAAACGTCACTTTCTCGCAGTTTGTACCACTCCACCATTTGGGCAAATTAACCGTTCCCGTAAGTGCTTCAGGAGGCCCTCCCTGATAGGCAGCCCAATCAATGCTGGCGAAAGGGGTAAATTTCTCTTTTTTCCTTCCTGCTTGCAAGGCACAAACTGTAAAGCTTTTTGCGCTGATGTTTTCTGTCCATGCAGTCACGGCGTCGTGGACTTTAACAGAGTCATTCAATTTGATGTGATTGACAGTTATTTGGACATGAACCTGTTTATCCGGATAGAACCGGTATGGTGGGAATGTAACGGTCTGACAACTTGAATCGAGCCATTTTGGAACACGGAGAAGGTCTTCTCGGCCCCGCACAATAGGAAAAACTGTTCAACAAAAAAAAATATCAACTTAAAACACTATTTGGTTCATGTGAATAATCAGCTTGCCTATAAGCAACTTATATTTACAGTCTGTCGCCCATGAATTTATTTGCTAGAGCCCTTATTGTATCCAGTACTTTCACATAAAGCAACAGTGCTGACAACAACGAGGATATGTAATAACGTGACTTTGTTGAGCAGGGCTGCTTCAAATTTGGTGTTTGAAAATTTCGCTACATCTGCAAAGCCACGAGGGATGTCAATCCGTCTCACTTTGTTCATGTTTCACCAATATCAGCTCGGTGTTACTCCAAGTTATTTTATTGCAGCATAGCGTGAACTGTCGCAAGCCCTGGACTTATACATCTTCGTATGGGGTTTTAGGACTCTGTTATACCACATCTACCACATTTACACATTCAAGTTAAACTTTATTTCAGATTTAAAACGTTAATAAAAAATCGGGGGGGGGGGGGGGGGGCGCTTATACCCAAGGGAACCTATAACGGCTTAGAAGTGGCAGTTTACGGTCTTGCTTACCTTCACAGCTTCCTGGATGGTAGATACGGGGGTCGCTCTCAAGTCCTTTGCAGTAGCCGAGCTTCTGCCAGCATTGATTTTCGTATGTCGTACCGCTCGCACTGCACACTGGATCTTGATACGATGGACATTGATCATTACATTCACAGCGACCGGCATACGCATTATATACTTTGCAGACTCCAAATTGTGGGCATTGCACGTTACGACAAGGATCTACGTCTATGTTGAAAAAAAAAAAAGGTGGATATTTTAGTAGAGTTGAGTTTAAAGGAATTTCAATTCAACCATCGAGCGGGGAGCTTTCTCCAAGGGCCTAAGTCAAAAACGTACCTCCAACAACAGCATAGGCTACAGTAAGTGGGTCATGGATAGGACCTGATCCACTGAGATCTTTAACACATATCCTCATAGATTGCAAGCCAACGTTCTGCAAAGAGAGACAAGTACAAGCAAGTTATGATAATACAAAAGAAGTGCGTTTTCACTTTAGCAGATTCTAATTATGCTGGTGAGAATCGTTTTCATGCTAATGGCGAGAACAGCAGTAAGAAACGAAAAGAAACGTTTCTTTTCCGTTTTTATATGTTATGTTAATTTTTTACACTTGCTGTAATAAAAAATATAATGATAAAAAAAAAAACCTGGCGACAAGTTAAGAATAAAGAAAAAGAGAACGGCAGGAAATGAACACACCAAAGTGTAACTGTGGTTTAAAATTTAAAAGTTTTCCTATTTGGGAATGTCTAATGACGTGAGTATAGAGAACGAAACACAAACCTACCTCCATCCAGGTCGAGATTATGTTATTTTCCGGGAGAAACCGGCCCTTCGCCTGGCGACCGTATCGGTGATTGACAGAAACAAGGACAACTGGCGACTCGTGGAATGTTTTATTAAAAGAAACGTCCTGTAAGAAAGAAGGAATTCCACACGATTAAGAATCGTAGCCTGCGTAGCAAACGTAATTTAACCTCAGTATTAGTAACGTCTGCGAAGCGTGCCGATATCCTTGTTCTGCGGATTCCTTCCGGGGTTTCCTTTCCTTCCTGGGATATCCTTGTCCTGAAATACGTTTTGTATTTCCCATCAACCTGACTCTCAAATCGACAATGACATTTTAAACAGACCAATTATGGCGCGTACTCAAATCTTGTTAAACAGGTAGGGGCCCAGACCAAGGATTTAAGCGCTGTTTCGCAGACGGACGTAACCAGAGTTAGTTTCGACTGTGGCACAGGATAAAGGATCGTTGTTCTCATCGATGAACGTAGTAAAGCACAAACAAAACACTCTAGTAGTTTGGTCTTTGGTACCTTGACAGCTGATTGACAGCTACCACTCACCTGGCAGAAGCCGTAGTTGTCCTGAGCTGACGGGTATCCGTCATTTGGAAAGAACCTTTCTCCGGCAGTCACGTTGTCAAGCCTGAGGAATGCGAACCAGTCCTGTCGGTGAAAGAAAACCAGAAACGTATAATGATCCAAGGGATCATTTGATGGATTCGCCCTAAGTGAGAAGTTAGTGCCATTGTTGGCTTAGGGGAGGGGTAAGTGGGTAGTTTTCCAGAAACGCAAATTATCCAAGGGATCATTTGATGGATTTGCCCCAAGTGAGAAGTAAGTGCTAATGTTGGCTTAGGGGAGGGGTAGGTGGGCAGTTTCTCAAAAACTTATAATGATCCAAGGGATCATTTGATGGATTTGCCCCATGTGAGAAGTAAGTGCTAATGTTGGCTTAGGGGAGGGGTAGGTGGGCCGTTTCCCAGAAACGTATAATGATCTAAATTAAGTTGGAGAATTCATCATCATTTCACTGTTTTAGTTGATAGCCTTCGAAGTACTAGTTAGCTCATGCCTCATATCAAGAGAGGTTGTTACTTTTCCCTTTCCGGTTTTTGCAGAAATTCTAAAAACGCATTAACCTCAAAAAGATAACCTGTCAAACACTGGCATAGTATGTGGTCCTGGAGATCTGCTAAGTACAAATTAAATATAAAAGGACCTTATATGGAGCCTTGTGGGACGCCAGACACTACCGATCCCTTGTCCTAGATCACAGCTGGTGAAATGACGATGGATTCCCGAAAAAAACATATATCTATGTTACGTGTATACTTTATCGTTATTTCCCACGTACCACAATTGTATCTCTGTGTTTTCCATCAAAAGGCAAGAATTCCCTGATGCAAACTTCGAAACCTTCAGAATTTACATTCTCCAACCATACATAAACAGCATCAGTTGGCTTTGTACTGCGGCCGTACTTTGCGGAAACAAACACGTGCGGCTTAGAGGCAAACCTCTGAAAGACAAAATACGAGGTCAGATGAGCCTATGGACAATGAAATGGACGTAGATTGACTGAAATTTGATCCATCTATTAATCCGGGACAGAGGCCTTGGTTTTGACAACGTTAACAAGGGCGGATTAAGGGGTGGGCCCAGGAGGCCCAGGCCCCCCTTTTGTGCGGGAATTTTTTTTCTTTTGTAAACGTGTGTCGGATGGTACGTCGAGCTTTGTTACTTAACTATATTTTCTTAAGTAAACATTGTTAATACTGAAGAAAATGTATCGAATGTTGTTCGAATCAACCGCCCTTATAAACTAGCTTCAAACCGACAAACCGAAAGATGCTACTGATACCTGCCAACTTGCAGAAGCTTTAAAAGTCTTCTCAAAAGAAAGTTATTCGTCACTATTTGCGCGATCTTCCACTGCCAAGCAGTGCGTCTCAGGAGCCAGAGCTGTGGAAGCGCTTTGGGTGCGGTAATTTTATTTCAAATTTACTAAGAATACAGCACAGTTTCACTAAGTTTATATGTACTTATGTACATAGTTATGAAATGTTTTTTCAGTGATACGCGAAGGAAACCATTTCTGTCTTGCGATATATGTAAGTGGTTGCTTTCATTTTCAGGATCAGAACCGAAAAAGCCTCCATTTTACAAGAAGAATTGGCAGCCTGCAACAAAGGCCTATACTCCAAACTCCACACAATTTTGCGGCTCCTAATGATCGGCCCTGTCACAAGTGCAACTGTGGAACGTAGCAACTCATCACTGCGCTTTGTAAAGAGTTGTTTTAGAAGCACCATGCGAGAAGACCGCCTTAACGCACTGTCACTGCTCTTTATTCACAAGGACGTTGCTCTGGATTATGATGCAATTATTGACGACTATGCCAAGGGCAACAAGAGAAGGATGACATTTATCAATCCGCTGGAATGAATTTACTTATGATTGGTCTTAGAGTCATGACCTTGGGATGCATTTCCTTTGTTGAATTTTTTTACTATAAATCTTCTTTGAATCTGTGTTCGAAGCCTACATTTTTGGTCGCAAATGACCAAAGCTCCCGGAATGCATGCAGTAAATATCCTTCTGAAACAAACTGGATTTGACAGTTTTTCAGGGAGACAATATTGCTGCCTTTGCTGGCAGGTTGCGCTCCCGCCGCAATCGCGTCGGCCCCTGCTAGCATCATAAAATTTAAGCGTCCAGAATGCACTAGATTGCATCTCAGAGAACTTCAATCTCAAAAATTTTCGCGGAGGACCATGCGCCCGAAACTACCTAGAAAAGTGCGCCGTTTGCAGTTCTGATGGGCGCTATCGCGCTCATATTACCACTGTATACAGTTACTATATCTCTAGGTCCCCTCTATCACAAAATCCTCCGTCCGCCACTGATTGACGTTAATGTGTTACATACCAAAAAACCTTGAGAAATCACAGAAAGCACAATGTCATTCCTGCTAAAAAGTGTTGTTCTTACAAGCAGCATTTTTGTACTTTATTTTCAACAGATTGTTAACTAATTTCATGATCTAACCTGAGAAAAGGCCACTTTTTCACACTTGGTTTCTGTTGTCCATATTCCACCAAGAGCAACGCTTCCATGCGTTATGTCTGTGGTTGGCTGGTCTTCGAACGCTAACCAGTTGATCATTCCCGTGTCGTTTTTATTACCCGCCGTGCGCGAACATAGTTTAAATCCAACTGTATTGATGGATTCTGCCCACAGAGCCGAGGGCGTGTGAGCCATCAATGACTTTTCTTCATGACTCAGTGACACAAAAACGTGGACCTGAAATGCATCGGTTAGAAATACGTATAAGTAAAAACAGATAAAGCGCGCCATGGCCGTTGATATGCCACTGTCAGTCCATCGAAGTACTAACTTGTTCCCTTTCAGCTGTTCTCCTTGTTTTAGTCGTTTTGATCGACCGTTGTAACGTTTTTTTTTGTCTCCTTTACAATATTATTTCCAAGAAAACACCGAGTGCTTCTATGGTCTAACTTGAAGTCATTTCAACTGAGAAATCTATATTCTGAGATTAACTCCAACACGAGACTGTCTGGTAACATTACCCAAAAGATGGCGAATTATGATCATTATTTTATTCGATTCTTGACTCTTATTTGATGAAGGGTTGGCATACACATTAGTTCCTTGACTCATTTAAAATTCCCCGGGGAAGCCTTGTTCATGAATTTAACGATAACGTAAAGTTTAAGCTCATAGCTCAGTCCATTTTAAAAGTGCGGAAACACATCTTGGTATGCAGTCATAAATACTTACAGTCCGTGATCCAACGAATTCCCGATGAAAAGTCACATCTGTGCAACGTGGCAATGTACAGTGAGTCGGCGCTTCACATTCGCTGCTGTTACGACTCCATTCCTGCCTTGTCTTCGAAACGTCTACTTTTCCAATCTGATACGAGAATCCTTATAAGATAGAAACGCAATTTCATAATATTCCTAACCCTTAAAGTAAAGGCAAGGTGCTTAAAATAAGAAAGGAAGTCGAGGAAAAGTGCCGAAGAGTAATAAAAGCAACAAAATTAAAGTCCTTAGCTACGACAACAGGACCGACCCGGCTAAGTGCAGGTCCTCAAGCACCATATTCATGTGTCGCACACGAAAACTTGAAACTTTATGGCTTACGGCGTGGGGGACATTTGGCCCAGAACTGCGAGACAAAGAGTGAGTAGTTTGAGTGAAATGGTAGTCACTATCTGGCTGTTTGTAATGATAGTATGAGGCATCAGTGGTAGTCAGAGTCTTCTATCTGGAACGGTTTTCGAGTTCGTTGTATTTGAAGAGTCGGGAAAAAAATCTGTCACACTCGACTACGCTTCGGATATTTTTAATGCTTTCCTCGGCAATGTACGATGAAACATTGTGTACCGTATTTGATATACGAAAAAGCGAAAATATATTATCGTGTTTGAGGCGTAAAAAGAGACGAGGAAGGCCAGGGGACCAAATCTTCCATGCAGGATCTGAGGTTCCGGTGTCACAAATTGCGAAGGGGGAAGGGTTGGTGGCTGAGGGAAGAGGAGGTTGGGAATAACTGACAACGCAGGTTATACTAGCCTGCGAAAACATCCGTTTCTCCTCGCTTTTCGTCGCTGAGGACGTTTCGCGCGGAGGAACGTCTGCGACTCAGTGACAGAAATTCCATACTGATGACGCAAATCAATGTTTACATAATAAATCCGGTAGTCATGGGGTTCCAAATATAAATTTGTCTAATTTTGCGTGTCTTCTGGTCGATTTTGGTAAAGTGTTGTGTTGATCAGCCCACGAGCTCCAGCAAAACTCAAATGCTTCTTCTAGAGAAGACTATATTGCACAAATATTGACTGTTTTGTTAGAGATTCTTCGTGTTTACATTTGACCTTTTTGGCCTTTTGTCTTTTGTCTGTCATTTGTAAACAATAGCTAAAACAATGTAACTTCTCCGTCGACCAATCAGCGCTTCTGAGAGGTTTCTGGACAGATTTTACGTCATCAGTATGGAATTTCTGTCGCTGAGTCGCAGACGTTCCTCCGCGCGAAACGTCCTCAGCGACGAAGAGCGAGGAGAAACGGATGTTTTCGCAGGCTAAGGTTATACGGGAAAATTAAATTCTCACTTGGTTTGTGTGTTCCGTTGCCGCAGTAACGAAAGTTACAAATTGGGGGCTTCCCAAGGTGGTAGACGTAGAATCCTCCACAGTTACGGACTCTGATGCTTGTTGAGTATTCACAACAATTGTTTTTGTAACGGAAACAAACTTTGCGTCGGACAGCACCCTCAGCTCTTTCAGGATGACTGCCATTCAGCCAACCCGGCAGTTCTGCGCCACATCGAAACTCGGGAACACATGAATCCGCCATTTGCTTTCCAGCATTTCCCCCAAAGCGATACCATCCGTTAAGATCATCATCACAAAGGAAGTCAATACCGATGTTGTAAAAGGAGTTTGCTCTGCTTGACTCGTTAAGGAACGTGTAATGGTAACACTCTAAAATAGAACAGAACATTGTTGGCTTCCGAAATTAAACCGGCGTTCATAGACGGCGCACATCAACCGGGATTGAGGCGCAGTCTATTAATATACCATGAAGCTACCAAGTGTGTCTCAGTGCTAAGTGCGTTTACGTGTATAGAGACGATTTGCCCAAACATTTGGGCAAAATCGCTTCCCAAGAATGCAATACGTCCACTTCTGGTCAGACATAGCTCCCTCGGTCAAACGCATGCACTGCGGGTTGAACGTGGTTAGGTTTTCTAACTGGGAGGCTCTTGTTGGAAGCTATAGGCGGGACCACTAACCCGTCTGAGTGCGTAACTGGTTGTCAGAAATGTTGGCTTATGGGGGAGGGGTAGGTGGACAGTTTCCCAGAAACGTATAGTAATCCATTCTTAGCTCCATCATACTCACTCGAAATCATAACAGGGATCTAAAGATCGCGATCGGACCTAGGTGACTACAAAGCGAACGTCAAAAAAAACAATAGGCTTAATCAGCAAAACAACTCTGCACGTGCAATCCACTATGACGCGAACTCGCCTAATTTTACGTTTTATGGATCACGCAACAAGCGACAACGAAATTTTCTTTCTCTTTCTAAATCTGGATATGGTTCTCAGGAATTCAACCCCAAACGTCAGGGGCGTAGGCAGCCCATTATAAAGACCTCTTGGCCCGGGCCTACAAATTTTTGGTTTGATCACTGTACCGCTTTTAATAAATCATGAAATCATGCGTTGTTGAGGTCAAAGTGTTGGTGAGGTCAGTGCGTACTAGTCATGCGTGCAGCTTTCAGGATATGTGGAAATCAAAGTCAGCCAAGCGTGCAACTAGTCGAAAAGCTGGCTACGCCCCTGGAATTGTTTGACTACATTTGAAAAAGTAAGTGAGTATGAATAATGGCGATGCTATAGCTAATGTATATTTTTCAGTAATACCTTTTGCTGATATTTTAGCATCTTCAAAAACTTCCTTGATGTTCGTGTCTTTCCAGTAGCTCTGGTACATGTTCTTTTCTTCATCGTAGTTTGGCAGTGAACTCTGTAAAGTAAAAATCCGTTATCTGTTACTGACTTTTCAGATCTCCAACGATGCGGGAGTAAGAATTGTAAACAAAAACAAAAGGAGGTTAGGAATTAAGGACTATGCGAATCCTGATCTAATGTTAAATTCTCCCTTCGATTCGCCCCCATACATGCTACAAGGCAAATTGGAAGGAGGTGAATCAAGAACCACTTGAGGCACATTTCGTCCACCCCATCAATTTAACAATTTACACTTTAAACAGTTTCAATTTACCGTTAATAAAAGATGGACTTACTCCTTGAACGCCGCTTATTGTGCGAGGAAGAATGACAATGGGCAATGCAGCGATAAAGAACAGTAGCATGTAACGCAGCATCTTGGTGATAAAAAAATCCCAAAATTCTGCGCTCCGATTCTCACTGCAGTGAGAATTTGTCGCAATGGCAAAAAGCAGAGAGAACCACAGCCTTTATGCAAGTTGAACCTGGAGTGATATTGCTGGGAATAATACCATTTCCGGCGGGTACACTAATTCTGTACAATATAATATTCATCAGATAAGCACTTCCAGCACTTTTAGATTGTTGTTCAAGTGCCTCAACATCCCTTCAACCATTAAAATTCCAGCACGATCTTACTTACAACTTTTTATCATTTAAATCGCTGTTTTACTGTCTTTGGAAAAGAATTTTAGTGTGGCTAAACAGCGCCATCTATTGTAGCTTAATCTGCAAATAAATTCAAGAAAGTCGATTTTACTGGCAGTATAAATGGTTGTCTGTAAAAGCAGGAGTGCCGGGTGTAGAAAACGAGGAGTGCGCTGAAGCCTGTGTGGCAGGCGTTGGAAATGGAAGGGGAAGGAAATTTGGGCGCGAGACCGCGCGCGTAGGAGAAGGGATGGTGGTGGTGGTGGGGGGGGGGCATGCTAAGTGCGGTGTAGTGTAGAGTGTGGAAAACGAAGAGTGTGGATTGTGGAAAACGAGGAGTGCGTTGTAGCCTGCGTGGCAGGCGTTCGACGGGGACGGGGAATGGAATTCGTTCGCGAGACCGCAGGCGAGGAAGGAGGAGTAGGGAATTTGGATGCGAGACCGCGCGAGGGAGTAGGGAGGAGGGGCAGGCTAAGTGCGGTGTAGTGTAGAGTGAATTGTGGATAGCGAGGAGTGTGGAATGTGGAAAACATAGACTGCAAAGTGTTTTGAATACGGGAGTGTGGAAAATGAGGAGTGTACAAGACACAAAGTGTAGACATTGTGGAGTTTGTCATTTAGTGGGAAGAGTGATAAATGATGCTGCTTGTCGTTTATTGATAGAGAAGGAGAGACCAGAGGAACTCCACCACAATCAACCAGTTGAACTTTTCAAGGTTTATCTTACTTACTCGCAATAGGGATCTACATATATTCTTCTTGATGTTCTTCTCTTTCTCTTCCAAGCTGCATTTCTCCTCTCTCTCTAATTCTTCCTTCGACACTCCAAATCTTTCTTCTCAGTTGCTAACTCCTTCTTGCTAGCTCCGTTTTTCCATTTAAAGGATAAGCCACTCTCAAAAAGCACACCGATAATATTTATCTTTCCAAATGAAACTCTTAATATTAGCAAATTGGTTATTCATCATGTTTCACTTTTAAAGGAAAACACTTAGAATGCTCTAGAACCTTAAAAGCCTATTGATCGGATATTTATCGAACGTTCATTAACTTTCAATATATCTTTAAAATCGGGGAGGTTAGTCCTGTGACAAGAGATAAAAACGGCACAATTAAACTCAAGGAAACTCTTTTTCTACAATGAAACTCTTTGTAAGTTTACGAATTCACATTATTCACATAAATGCCGGAATCAGTGCTGTTAGCTCAACAAGTTTTTATTCGTCGGTATTTTCATGATGCAGTTGGGGGGGTAAACTGAACAACTGGTTGAAAATTTATTATAGTGAGGGAAAATGAAAATCAACACTCAAAAATCAACCTCGTCCGTTGCTCAAAATTATGAAACTGGCAAATTCAAACTATACTCGCAACTCAATTTAATAGCAAAGAAAGTGTCGACCTCTGTAGTTTCTGGAAAGTAGCGACTCTAGAAAAAGGAGGGGTTTGGGGAGCTTAGTCTAAAGTATAAGGTCACAAAAATCACCTGAGCTTGGTTTGCTATGGGCTAAGATGGTCCCAGCGGCACATCTGCACAAATCTAGTTTCCCCCCCCCCCCCGGCTTAATATGCGCCCGGCGGCAATGTGAAGCCTTGTCTATTACTCTAGGGAAATTCGCAATTTCAGGGGAATTTCATACACCAATTTTTTGGTGCGAGTGGTTCCCTTGTAAAAATAGAAAGTTTAACAGAGTTGTACCCACACAAAAATACGAACTCCTCATTTTCTCCACTTCACATTTTTCGCACTCCGCATTAACCTCATTAATTCCAGACAACCGCGGTACAAGAAATTAAACGATGACGCCTGTTCTAGGTTGGTCAATTTCAATATCACTGTGAACTTTGATTGTATCTTATCAAGGCACTTCCTGAGCGACAAAAATTTAATGAACTGTGAAGTGCAACAATTAGCTGGTAAGAGGATTTCATACCACGAAACTAATATGGCTATGGCACGATAAACTTTTCACCTCAATGCGTGTGGTTAATGTGCAATTCCACTTAACTTTCAAGACTTAGATAGTTACCCTCAAAAACATATATTGTATAGTAGATGAACAATGTATTTACTTATTACTTTCTTTGTCATCTTTGTTTAATAGCTAGCACTATGACACAATTAAGGGAAGTCAAAAGCGTTAAAAAAAATTACACCTAAAAGGAAAAAAAGTCTGATTAAGAGAACAGATTGTGCAGGTCCTTGTGGCTATATTACGTGGACGTGAGACGGTCGGGCCCTGTAGCGATCCGGTAACACTTAAGATTAAACATTTTTTAATAAAAAGGTTGAACTTTAACTGACCCTTTTCTAGTATCCATGGTCAGTAGAATCACGAATAGTGGTTAAATATAGGAAGTAACAACGTGACTAGATGAAGTTCCTTTTAACTATAATTTTCGCAACTCTTTTGACTTTCCTGACGTATCCTGCGTAGCATGGAAGGCGTCGGATTTTTAGGGCGAAGGTTTCCCTGTACAGCGTTTTCCCAGGCCGTCTCGGTCAATTCACTTTGGTGACGCCATGGCGAACGGGCAAGAAACACTCACTCACTTCTTCGCTCTGACCACGTGACCCGAGACGCATTAGCCGCGCAGAATAATGGGGCCTTGGGACAAATAATAATAATTATTATAAAAGTAAATTATAATAATTATAAAAAAATCTCCCAGAATCCTTTGAGGCAATTTTTTAAAAAGCTATATAACTTTGACAGTTTTATACGTAGAAGACTGTCAGACCACAACAAGATAACATTTGCCATAAAATATCTTCCCGTATCACATCCAAGGTAATGACGCCATCAGTCATGTGACTGTTTCCGAATTAGGGTTTTTTGTTGCTGTTACAAGATTTAAAAACAAATAGTACATTTGAGGTTTTAGTTGTGTGGGGCATTTAAAAATAACCAGTTGACGTCCGGCATTTAAAATTTAAGACGGTAATATATGAACATGAGCGAAAAAGTCGGGAGACTAGCCCGAGGGCAAGGCAGAGAAAAGGGGGAGGGCGGTGGGCGCTTATTCGAGGCTGGGCACTAATTAACTTTTTCTGCCTTTAGGATGGGCGCTTATTCGAGGTGGGCGGTAATTCGAGGTTGGGCGCTTATTCGAATAAATACGGTATATACACGCGACGTGATCTCAACAAAATCAGAGAGAAAACCATTAAAAAGTACAATTTGAATGACAGATCAAATCACGCGTAAGTTTAAAAATAGATCTTTGCAGAATTTTCAAGCATGGCAATTCACACGTTTATCATAAATGGAACCGCTAAAAGTTTGAACTGTTTCCTTACCTGAGAAGAAAAGTGGAGCTTTCTTGTTTTCTGTTGACTCGCCAAGTTTATAGCCAAAAGGGCTTGTTGTGTCGTTCTTCGCATGAAGTGCTGACAAAAATGGCGGCTCGGTTGCTCGAGGTAAGACTTCGTCTTCCTGTATCATTCTTTTTCCTGTTTACTTGAAACGTAGAATTTCTGCAAACATTTCCTTTTAAATTTGTTTGTCATAAATAAACTTCGATTTTTGAGCCAAAATTTTCTTGTTAGAAAACGCTGAGTTTACGAAACGGCTTCTTCTACGCGAATACACGGGAGTTGCAAACAATCCATCGAGCACAAAACTCAGCTACAGTAAATTGAAAAACGCCGTATTGAATCCTTCCAAGTCTTTTCTTGCCTTAAAGAAAAGTCAGCGCTAGGATTTTGTCGACTTTTAAAAGATTGTTCTCTAAAAAAATGGGAAAAACACCGAGCTCACACATTATCCACTCGCTAGGAGGTGAATATTGTTGAATAGTCCGAGATAGCGAACCAATCAGATTTCTTAAATCACCAAGATCACTGAGTGTGTATATACTAATAATAATTATAGAATGAATAGAGATTTTTAGTACAATCCAGCTAGTGGTCTATTATCAATGCTGCATTCTGACTGGTTGAGCTACTACTAGCTAGGCTATATGTTATAGCCCACTAGTAGCGAAAAGCGCGCGCTTTTTGGCGGCAAAAAAAGATTAAAGTCTAGCTTCAACTAGCTAAATTTTTCTTATTCTCGATATTTCTGACCAACTAGTTGGATTTAAATAAAACAATTATTCCTCTCGCACTCATGGCCTCTGAGTCAATTGCTCATTCGGCCTTCGGCCTTATGGGCTATATTGACTCAGAGCCCATTCGTGCTCGAGGAATAATTGTTAAAGAAGCAGCACATACACAGAGTTGTTTTTCGTCTATTGTTCCTAAGCGAATTGTAATTTGGACATGATGGTTTTTGTAGAGAGGGGAAAAACCGGAGTACCTGGAGAAAAACCTCTCGAAGCAAGGGAAAGAACCAAAAACAAACTTAACCCAAATATGGCGTCGACGCCGGGATTGGAACCCGGGCCACATTGATGGGAGGCGAGTGTTCTCACCGCTACGCGACCCCTGCTCCCCCACTAGGGACTAATCAAAAGCTAACCAAAACTACCTGGCGCCTGCCATGCAGGCTATTCCTGACTACGAAAGCAATAAGTACATAAATTTAATTCTTCACTCATTCATGATATGTATTTTTGAGAATACCTTTCTTACATGTATTTCATCCAGACGTGCTAAGTGGAATGACTTAACCACAGATATCTATTCTGACTAGTGAAAACACGCACAAAAGCCTAATGGGCTCTTCGCATGACTTGATCACGTGATCAAGTTCCGGTAAACACGAAAATAGTTCACTTTTTGAAAAATTTTAGCACAAGCTGAAAGAGCATATTAATATTAGGTAACCTGAGAATTTT